ATTACAAGCATGAGCCACCGCACCCAGCCTATTACTATTAATTTTAGAGACAGGCTGGATTGCAGTGGCTCTATCCTATTCACTGTAACCTCAAGCTACTGGATTCAAGAGATCCTCCCACCTCAGCTTCCCAAGGTGCTGAGATTACAAGCATGAGCCACCACACCTGGCTTAATGACAGAACAAGGAAGCATTAGGTACAGTAGCAAGCACCTGTAGCCCCAGCTACTAAGTCTGAGGAAAGAGGATTGTTGGAGCCCACGAATTCAAGGCTGTAGTGTGCTATGATTGTGAATTATCACTGCACTTCAGCCTGGGCGACATATCAAACCCTGTCTTTTTTTTTTTTTTTTTTTTGAGACAGAGTCTCACTCTTGCCTGGGTTGGAGGATAGTGGCACTATACATGCTCACTACAACTTCTGCCTCTCAGGTTCAAGCGATTCTCCTGCCTCAGCATCCCAAGTACCTGAGACTACAGGTGCCTGCCACTACGCCCAGCTAGTTTTTGTATTTTTGTAGAGATAGGGTTTTACTATGTTGATCAGGCTGGGATTACAGATGCATGCTCCCACACCTGGCTAATTTTTGTATATATACAAAATATATATATATATTTTGGTACAGATGGGGTTTCACCATGTTGGCCAAGCTGGTCTGGAACTCCTAACCTCAAGTGATCCACCTGCCTCGGCCTCCCAAAGTGCTGTGATTACAGGTATGAGCCACCACACCTGGTTCCAAGACCCTGTCTTTAAAACAAAAAAGACAAGGAGGTGGCTCAGCCTGGCTTTTTGGCTTTTCTTTTTTTTTTTTTTTTTGAGACAGAGTCTCGGTCTGTCACCTAGGCTGGAGTGCAGTGATGTGATCTCAGCTCACTGCAACCTCTGCCTCCTGGGTTCAAGCAATTCTCCGGCCTCAGCCTCCCAAGTACCTGAGACTACAGGTGCCTGCCAGTACGCCCAGCTAGTTTTTGTATTTTTGTAGAGATGGGGTTTCACTATGTTGATCAGGCTGGTCTTGAACTCCTGACCTTGTGATCCACCTGCCTCGGCCTCCCAAAGTGCTGGGATACAGGTGTGAGCCACCACACCTGGCCCAGCCTGGTACTTATGAGGGTGAGACTAGGGTTCCACTGCCTGGGTTCAAAGCCCAGCTCCACCACGATGTCACCTTTGGGCAAGTCATTTAACCTCTCTTTGTACTGGGGTGGGTGTGGGCTGGTAAGAATGCCTCCCTCACAAGGTTACTGGGAGGATTTTGTGAAATGCAACCGTGGACACCCTGCACAGCCTTAGTCGAGTCCGCAGTAAACGTTTGCTATTGCTGTCACTATAATCCGGACCCCTCCTCCAGGGCTCTCTCCATAAAAAGACTGTCCTTTGAGTGGAAATCATCCCAGCTAGAGTTTCAAAGACACTTGAATGACCAAAACTCCAACTTCATAGGTCTCCTGGCTTCTTGACCAATCCTGCTGCCCTCGGAGGAAGAAAGGGGCCTGACTTGCACAGTGCAAACAGACAAACGGACACCAACATCTTTCTGGAGGCCCAAGAGCTGCATTCAGCGTCCTCACTCTTTCCATGAAATAAAGCTGCTAAACACCCCAGGCATGTAAAGCACTGAAATGAGTATCCCGGGTTGCTCTCTGCCAGAAGCCAAGACCACATAGTGGAGCAAAAGACCTTGAGCTGTTAAGCGCCATGACCTAGACACGCCGGGCTGTATTTTTAGCCTCTTGTGCACTGTTTCCATCACCTGTGCTGGGCTTTCAGCTGGAAAAGAGAAGGTGGGGGTGGAGAAAACTAGAGGGATGTTTCTTACCGCAGCCAGTGCCAGGAGGAGCTTGCCAGGATTTCCGAGTCCTGTTGTACAACAGGGCTATTTTCATGGGCGTGCAACAGGTATATTAACATAGGCCCCCTTGCTACCTGCTTGGAAGGGCCTCATATATGCTTTATCTTTTTATCTTCTGCTGTCACTGTCTTGAAATTCCTTTTTTCTTTTTTTTTTTTTTTTTTTTGAGATGGAGTCTTGCTGTGTGGCACGATCTTGGCTCACTGCAACCTCCACCTCCCAGGTTCAAGCAGTTCTCCTGTCTCAGCCTCCTGAGTAGCTGGGATTACAGGAGCCCACCACCACGCCCGGATATAATTTTTTGTATTTTTAGTAGAGATGGGGTTTCACCATGTTGGCCAGGCTGGTCTCAAACTTCTGATCTCAGGTGATCCACCTGCCTTGGCCTCCCTAAATGCTGGGATTATAGGTGTGACCCACGTCGCCTGGCCTGTCTTGAAATTCTTAATAAGTTTGGACAAAGGACATACGTTTTCATTTCTCACTGTGCCATGCCAATTATATGGCTGGTCCTAAGGAGTGCACATGACAGAGAGAGCCAACTGGAGGAGGGGCTGCTGCCAGCCCAGGAGGGATGCCTTCCCACAGCAGGCAGGACAGACCAAAGCTACTATCACAGGGCATGGCTGCCCAGATTTGGCCAAATAAACCTTGTTTCCAACCTCCTGGGTGCCCTTCCTACTTTCTTCTCTGAAACCTGAATGAGATGTCGAAAGAACCTTGGAAACTGTAGAGAACTGTGTCCTGCTTTGCTACAGTCTTTCTCTGGCATCCTGTTTAAAGTAGCCCAAAGGTTAGCTGGGTGTGATGGCGTGCCTCTGTAGTCCCAGCTACCCAGGAGGCTGAGGCGGGAGGATCATTGGAGCCCAAGAATTGGAGGCTGCAGTGATCCATGATCTCATCACTGCACTCCAGTGTGGGCGACAGAGGGAGTCCCTGTCTCCAGAAAAAGAAAAAGAAAAAAAAAAAAAAAAATCCACAGAGCCTTCAGTTAACATAATTTTCTTGTCTTTGTATTACTTTTTGTTCTCAGGAATTTGCGTGTTTTCAGATTGACTAGAATGTAAGTTCCAAGAGGAAGGTTTGGTCTTGGTGGCTGTGTCCTCAGCCCTCAGCAAGTTCGTCGCTGAGTATTTGCTGAACAAAGGAAAGTTCGACTTTATTGTTTGCTTTGGGCTGAGGGCTTCACCTGCATCTTCTCATTTCATTCTCTTCAAAGGCACTGCTGTCTGGGAGGGCATAGAAGTCCCAGAATAAGGGTTCTCAGGTCCGGTGGAGAAGGTGGGAAGGGCCCAAAATTGTGGAAAAGGGGAAAGCTGGACAAAAATGGGGATCACCGGTGGTAGGAGGTGGGGGGCTCCCCAGGACTGAGGCTGGCTGGGTGAGGGGATGGTGGGTGCCCCTAAGCTCCAATAAGAAGCTCAGAGGGTCCTTGAACTCGGGAGTGACACATGAAAACAATAACTGAACAAGATTCTTCTTGGTACAGCGCTGAGTAGTGTGGGTGGAGAGGGACAGAGATTGAGAGGCCTCGTGGGAGGTAGCTGCGCCCTTCGGGCCCGGACCTGAGAGCAGCCGTGGGTGGGGAAAGGAGTTTGGGGGGACGCGGGCTCTGGGAGTGGGTGAGGGGGCGGCGCCCGGGGGTTGAGGGGGCCCAGGGGCGAGTGTACCTAAGGCGGGCCTGCCCCGCCCAGCCGCGCTCTGGGTGCGGCGAGTCTGCACACTGGGGCAGATGTTCCCGCCGCCGCGCCGCGCGCAGGTCTGCACTTGCAAGCCCGGGACCAGGGACTTGAAAGCTGCCGGCGCGCCGCCCAGACCTGCCCCGCCGGGCGTCACCGCTGCGCTTTAGGCGGGAGCTGTAGGAAAATCCCCTCCGCCTTGGGGGAGGGCGGGGGAGGAGGACGGCCCACGACCGACCCCGGGTGAGGCAGGGAAAGACCTTGCCGGGGTCGGCGTGGAGGAGGGCAAAGGGCCTACCACGCGGGCCGAAAGTTTAAGCACGCCGCGCGCTCTCTGATGCCTAACATCCCAGGCTGTAGGATAAGCAGCACTATCCCATCCATTTCTGGTCGTTGCACTGGGCGTTTTACTTGCTTCTATCTCATCGAATCCTCTGAAGGCCTTTTATTATTCCTATTCTGCAAACGGCTGAGCCTCAGACACATCAGGAAACTTGCCCTAGTTGAAACTGGCTATGTGATAAGATACGGAACCAGGGGGTCAGTATGTGGCTGCAAACTTGGGGTGGAGAAAGGAATTCAGCATTTGCTGAGCTCCTACTGTGCGTGCCTAAAAGCTTCCATGCTTTCGTTTTGTTTTGTTTTTTGAGACAGGGTCTGGCTCTGTCACCCAGGCTGGAGTGCAGTGGTGTGAACAAGGCTTACTGAAACCCCGACCTTCCGGGCTCAAGCGATCCTCCTGCCTCAGTCTCCTGAGTAGCTGGGACCACTGATTTATTTATTTTTTCCTGTAGAGATGGGGTCTCGCTGCTTTGCCCAGGTTGGTCTCGAACTCCTGGGCTCAAGCGATTCTTCCGTCTCGGCCTCCTCCCAAAGTGCTGGGATCCCAGGATTTGTTAGCCACAGCGCCCGGCTCTAGGCGTTCTTATTTAGTGCAACCGCTCTGGGGAGTAGTAGCTATTATCACATCCATTTAACAGATGAGGAAATTGAGGTAAGAGCTATTTTTCCTTTAAACATGTCCAAGGTCTTACAGGTGACCAAGTGGGATGTGAACTCTCCAAAGCATTCTTTTTTTAACCATTACGATGAGCTAAGCAAGGGAAAACAGCTTGCAAACTGCTGTTGTAATTATTATCGCTGTAGCTGAGCTCGCGTGTGGGTCACGACCCGAGTGAGGGTGGAGGAGGGGTCACTGGGAGCCCGGCCTATTTCAGCCCGGCCAAACCGCTTGGTGACTTGGAGGCCGGGCCGAGGCCCCGCCCCTCACCTGCTGATCCCACCCGTGAATGGGACAAACAGAGGACCCTGAGGGGCGGGCCCAGGTGAGGTGAGGGATGGGCGGGGCCTGATGCGTGAGTGGCAGGAGAGGCACGCGGCCGGGGCGGGGCGTGCGCGCGCGGTAGGCTCCGCCCTCCGGGCCTCTCCGCGGATCCAGGCGGGCTCCAGGCTGCAGGGGCGGTGGCGGCGCTGAGGGGGGCGGGCCGGGGCGGGGCGGCCGGGCAGCCGGGGCGGGGCTACACTCGGGCCCCGCGTCCTGCTCCCATGGCCGCCCCCGGCTCCCCGCGCTGCCCCCTTTCCCCCGGGCCGCGCCCCGGGGCCCCGCACTGACGGCCCATGGCGCCGCCCGCCGCCCGCCTCGCCCTGCTCTCCGCCGCGGCGCTCACGCTGGCGGCCCGGCCCGCGCCCAGCCCCGGCCTCGGCCCCGGACCCGGTGAGTGTGAGCGACCCCCGCCGCCAGCCCTGAGCGGAGCGCACTCGAGGGGCGACAAGGGCCGGCCGGCCTGAGGGCCCCCTCCCTCCCGCCTCAGGACCTTTCGGTCCCCTTCCCCGGGCCCCTCGGCGACGCCCCTCAGGCTGGGACCGTCCCTCCCTGGGACCCGGGCTTCCCCCAGGCCCGTCATCGACGCCCCCGGGCCGGGTACTGTCCCCTGGCTGCAGGACCCGGTGCTCCTCAGCGACGCCCCTCAGCCCAGGACGCCCCCTTCGCCTTGAGACCTCCAAGGCCCTCCGCGACGCCCCCCGGGCTGGGACATCTCCTCTGTCTTGGGATCCGGGACCCGCTGCCCGAGTCCCTCAGCGACCCCAACCAGGCTGGGACGCCCCCTCTCCCCGGTACCTCCTGGGATCCCATCCCAAGTCCCCAGCGACTCCCCCCCGGGCCAGGGCGACCCCTGCTCCCCGCTACCTCCTGGGATCCCGTCCCCAAGTCCCCAGCGACCCCTCCCGGGCCGGAACGACCCCTGCTCCCCAGTACCTCCTGGGATCCCGCCCCAAGTCCTTCATCGACGCACCTTGCACTGGGACGGCTCCCCTGCTACAAGAGGCTACATCCCTCTCTGCAAGACCCTCAGCGACATCCCTCCCCCGGGCCAAGGTCCCCTCCCTGAGCCTCACTACGACGCCCCCGCGTCCCCCAGTCCTCTCCTCCCTCCTACACCGGTGGAACCCGGCGCCTCCCCGCACAGAGCAGAGCGGAGGCGGGAGGAGCCGGCACTCAGCCCCTTTTCCCGAGTCCTCGACTGCACCCGCTTGGCGGACATTGTAACTTCTGCCTCGCGAGGAACGGGATGGACTTGTTCGCCCTGCTAGAGGCAGGTTAGGGTCCTGGGACGACCTTGTACCCAGACGGACTGGACGTGCCCTCTTTCTCCGCTGGGCCGCTTTGAACTTCCGTATGACTTAGGTGATGGCGCAGCAGGGGGAGAGGAAAAAGGAAGCGGTGATGGGAAACTTCTCCCCTACTGAGCTTAGGGTGCTCTTCCTAAGGGTGCAACGCCAAGCTCCGTGTTTCGGTCACCCCACACCTTAGACAGGTCACTCACTCCCCAGGCCAAGGCCAAGGCCAGGTCTTCCCGAGGTGGGGCTCTGGTCCAGGATGAAGCTTGGACTTTGCTTAACTTCCACACGCAACCTTGTAGCCAAATCCTTTCTAAGTTGAAGAGAAGGCAAGAGGGCGTTGCATTTCTCTGCAGGTTGTTTGGATGTTGAGCATAGGACATTTGTGAAAGGGATGGGAAGAGTTTATTACCAGTCTGCAGGAGTAAGAAAACCCGCCTCTGGGTTCACCACCCAAAGTCACAGACTGATATTGGAAAGGATGGGATTTTGCTGGTGTAAGAAAACTCGGAGTTGCTTTGTTTACTCATTGGCTTGGATTAGTGAAAAAGCTAGGACTTGGTATTGTCACTTACTGCCTGACTTTGGGCCATGTCTTCAGCTCTCTGAGCCTGTTTCCTCATCTGTAAAGACAGGATAACTTCTTTGCAGAGTGTTGTGAATATTAAATGATATACTACTGTAGGTAACATACCCGCATATAGGAGGGAGTCAATAAACATATTTTAATAATACTTTTATAGGACCTCACAGTTCATCGAGTGCTAGACACCTCATTTACCCTGGGAGTGCTAAGAGCTTTCTGTCTGATTCATTTCTGTAAAAGGCAAAGCTTGGCTTTAAACTGGTAGAACTGGGGTCTCCAAGTGTTGTAAACCTGAGGCTCAGTGAGTGGTTTCTGAGTGGTCACCACCTTTTATGGGACTTCTACAGTATGATCGCTTCTACTGTTGTGAGGAGTGAGGGACATTCCGAGAGCCAGGATATGTCAACATAACTGTAACCTAGTAACCCCTTAGCTCCACTTTGCTATCTGTGTGGTCAGGATTTAATGTCCCCTATAAAGAGAGAGGTATGGGTGGCAATAGACTGGTTCCCCTTCTGGAAAGGGCAGAGTAGTAGCTCTGAAAAGCATCAAGTGAGCCAACTCTGCTTAAGCTTGTTGGAAGCTATTCTCTTCCCAGATATCTTTGCTTTTTTAAGATCAAATGCAGCAGCTCTTATGAAGTTTGCACCCCAAATTTTGGTGTACTTTTATTTAGGAGTCTGGGGTAGGGGCAAATAATCATTGTGAAATGATTTGTGGTAAGTGGCCCAAGTTCCCAATTCACTGAGCCTTGCCAGCTTGCTGTCTTACCGTCCTGGTAACTCAGTGCTTTGCTTTTTTGACTTTTCCTGCCTAGTTGCAGAAGCAGTTTTAGGGAGATACCACATGGTCTTCACCAACACATCCTGTCTAGATCCTACCCACTAGCTTTTAAAATCTTTTCCAATAAAACACACACACACACACACATTTTACTCTGAGGATATGCCAAACTTGCCATTTTATATTTTTTGATACTGTAATTTTCTCTAAAATTTTGTGGATGGAAAAAATTATTTCAATATTTGTATTCTGCACAATTTTGTAATATTTAAATTACTGGTGGTTTGCATTTTTGAATGCTGACTTTATAAAAACAGTTAGCTCATTCCCCATCAATCCTACTTCTAATTACAATGTGTACCCAACCCCAAATGATCTCCCTTCTTTTCATTCTTCCTCTAAGATTCTCTTCCTTCCTTCACAACTCATAAGAAGGAAAATAGAAGGTAATGGAATCTAGACTTTCCTTCAAGGAGGAGTGCAGCTAGGGCCATGCGGTCGATGGGTTCTCTGTAGTGGGTCCCATCTGGAATGTATGGAATTTATGGTCTACTCACTTGGGTGTTTTACTACCTTTAGGGTCTATCAGATGCGCATCAACAGAGCTTCTCCACTCAGGTTATGTTTGCTGTGAATATCTTTTATAAGTTTATAGATTGATGCTCATTCTCCTCTAACTCCTCATCTGGAATTTGCCCCACTAGCCAGTAGTGTGTTTGCTATAAAACCTATGAGTTCAGTTAACAGCTAGAGTTCATACTGTCTACCAATTCCTGGCCCTCTTGGGGACTTCATTAATGCTAATAGAATTATCTGCAAGCAATATGGGGGCTGAAGCAGTGAAGGAGTGAAGGGTGCATACCAGTTACTTGTATGCTCTGAGTATTTTAAGAAACGCCATTTCGATGTGGTATCACAGACCTCTGATATTTTTGTGAAAATATATTTTGGCCTCTAGACAAACTATTTAAATCTTTGAGGCCAGGCGCGGTGGCTTACGCCTGTAATCCCAGCATTTTGGGAGGTCAAGGCAGGTGGATCACCTGAGGTCAGGTGTTCAAGACCAGCCTGGCCAACATAGTGAAACCCTATCTCTACTAAAAATACAAAAAATTAGCCGGGCATGGTGGCGGGCACCTGTAATTCCAGCTACTTGGGAGACTGAGGCAGGAGAATTGCTTGAACCCAGGAGGCGGAGGTTGCAGTGAGTCGAGATCGCACCATTGCACTCCAGCCTGGGCAACAAGAGCAAAACTCTGTTTCAAAATCAATCAATCAATAAAAAATATTTGAGATAGGCAATGAGCCCTTTTATAAATCCTAAAGCAAGAAAGCATTCCTTTTAGGCTCACTACTCATAAACAGAAAGTTGATACACTCAATATAGATATTATTGATACACTCATAGTTTAGCATAGTTAGACCAAAAGCAATAAATTAGTAAGATGAAATACATTGTTTTAAATAGCTTCACAATATACAGATTAGGGATTTTTGGTGATGGGGAGTATACCATCCTTAATATAGAATTTTTGAGTATGGAAATGTCAACTGATAATCTAGGTCAGGTATGGGCAAACATTTTTTGTAAAGGGAAGATAGTAAATAATACGAGATTCATGGGACTTATACTATCTCTGTTGCAATTATTCAACTCTGTAGGGCAAAAGCAGCATAGACAAAAGATAAATGAATGGATGTGACTATGTTTCAGTAAAACTTTATGGACACTGAAATTTGAATTTCCTATAATTTTTTTTTTTTTTTTTTTTTAGGGACGGAGTCTCACTCTGTTACCCAAGCTGAAGTGCAGTGGCGCGATCTCGGCTCACACTGCAACCTCTGCCTCCCGGGTTCTAGCAGTTCTCCTGCCTCAGCCTCTCAAGTAGCTGGGATAACAGGCATGCATCACCATGCCTGGCTAGTATTTTATTTTTAGTAGAGATGGAGTTTCACCATGTTGCCCAGGCTGGGAATTTTCTATAATTTTTATGTTAAAAAATACTGTTCATTTGATTTTTCAAAACTAAAATATTTTTAAAATTATAGATTTTTGAAGTCTTAGCTTGTGGGCCATACAGAAGCAGGCAGTGAGCCAGATTTGGGCCACAGGCTGTGCTTTGCCGAGTTCTGTTCAAGGTCCATGTCTTCTGATTTTTTTCAGTGTTCACTGGTCTAGAAACGGTGACAAGGAGGCTTGATGTTGGTGAACGAATGAAACTTTTACCATTTACTGTTAACTAACTTTAAGATACATATGGGAGAAATGGTTAAAATGGTAAATTTTACGTTATTTTTTACCACAATTTTTTTAAAAAGATACGTATGGGGAAAAGTTCATGCACATACATACATTTGGGTCTTTAATAGGACTTTTAGACCAGGCGCAGTGGCTCACGCCTGTAATCCCAGCAGTTTAGACGATCCAGGTGATTGGATCCCTTGAGCTCAGAAGTTTGAGACCAGCCTCAGCAACATAGTGAGACCCCGTCTCTGTGAGACCCCATCTCTACAAAAAATAGACAAAAATTAGCCAGATGTCGTGTAGTCCTAGCTACTCAGGAGGCTGAGGTGGGAGGATCACTTGAGCCTGGGAGGTCAGGGCTGCAGTGAGCTGAGATTGTGCCACTGTACTCCAGTTTGGGCAACAGAGCAAGACCCTGTCTCAAAAAAAAAAAAACCTTGAAAATGTCCTAAAGAGAAATTCAGCGTGGTTCAGTGTGCAC